TCTCACCGCGGTCCTCCAGGACCTTGGCACAGTCCTCCGGGACCTCACCGTGGTCCTCCGGGATCCCAGCATGGTCCTCCGGGATCCCACCGTGGTCCTCGGGATCCCACCACGGTCCTCTGGAATCCCACCAGGGTCCTCCAGGACCTCGGCACAGTCCTCCGGGATCCCACCATGGTTCTCCAGGACCTCGGCATGGTCCTCCAGGATCTCACTGTGGTCCTCCAGGATCCCACCGTGGTCCTCTGCGTCTCACCGTGGTCCTCCACGTCCCACCGGGATCCTCCAGGACCTCGGCGCGATCCATCTCTCCTCTGGTTCCTTCTTCCAGGCGTCTTCCACCTGGGAGTGCCGGTGGCCCCCCCCCCACCCCCCCCAGCCACACCGGCAAAATCGGCGTCTGGAACGCCGTCACCAAACACTGGCAGGTGAGCGCCGGTGACGCCGTCACCACATCGTCCCCGAATCCTTCCCCCTGGCGACTCCCTTCCCGTCCCACCCGCAGATCCAAGAGGTGGTCCCCATCAACAGCTACGACGCCGCCGGCACCTTCCTCCTCCTCGGCTGCAACAACGGCTCCATCTACTACGTGGGTGAGCGCCGGCGCCGCGGCTCCAACCGTCCCACCCCGGTGGCAGTGCCACCGCCGTCACCGTCCCTCTGTCCCCTGTGCGTGTCTGCGTCACCTCCGCAGACGTCCAGAAGTTCCCCCTGCGCATGAAGGACAACGACCTGCTGGTGACGGAGCTTTACCGCGACCCCACCGAAGACGCCGTCACTGCACTCAGCGTCTACCTCACCCCCAAAACCAGTAAGAACCCCCTTTCGCCCCAATCTGGGAGGAACTGGGACCAACTGGGAGAGCGCCGGCATCACCCGGCGGGAGGTTCCGCCTTTTAGGTGACAGCGGTAACTGGATCGAGATCGCTTACGGCACCAGTTCCGGCGTCGTACGGGTCATCGTCCAACACCCCGAAACGGTGGGATCTGGTCCTCAACTCTTCCAAACCTTCACCGTCCACCGCAGTCCCGTCACCAAAATTATGCTGTCGGAGAAACACCTCATCTCCGGTGAGTGCCGCGGTCGGGGGGAGGGGGGAGGAAAACACCCGGGAAGTCCCCGGTGTTCACTGTCACCGTCACCGCCATCACCACCGTCACCGTCACTACAATCACCACCATCGCTGTGGTCGCTACGATCACCACTGTCACTGCCGTCACTGGG